AAGCAAGGTGGGATGAGAAGTTTGAAGAGGAAGTATAGGACAGTGGGGAAGGAGAGGGGACTGTAGTTTACTGCACATGTACAAATAAACTGATTTCTGATTACTTGAGCGCTTGTTTTGCCCATCTCAACTTTAAAGTTGGGACAAGAGGGAAGCATAGCAAATCATTATATAATCTGGGTGTTTATAGCACATACAGTCAGGAAAGGTCTGAATATGCTCCTGGTGCTTTCTAACTGTTGTGGGCCAGGTCCAGCTGATAACAGGAATACGTGTGTACTACATAGAAAATAAATCAGCATTAATTCCAGCATATGTCCAGTCACAACCCTCCTGTTACATCTCTCTCAACAAGCATACGTGCAAGTGACTTGGAGAAGGGAATATCTACTGCTCTGCTTAAATAGGAAGGTATGAGAAGGGATGTACTGGAACAGGATGAAATAGAAGGCAGTATAAAGCTGGTAAGTAAACCCGAGGTTGCAAGCTGTTGCATTGCTGTATGTCAGTATTTTGAAGCTGGAGGTAGCTGGCAAACTTTGGAATTGAGCTGTGGCATAACGCAGGCTTAAGATTTGTGTCCTGTAGCTGAAATGCTTGCATCTTACCAACTTTGGGTGTGTGTGGGTGTGTGTGTGAAATGCAGAAGGTAAGAGATAAGAGTGGGGAGACCCACAGTCCTGATCCTTTTACAGAGGCTGGGATGGAGGAAGGCAGGATAAAGAAAGCATATGCCCTAAGGTGGCAGGTGCTCCTTCTGTTTCATTTTGTTTGCAGTGGTGGCTGAGCATATTCTTTTCTACTAAGTGTTCCAGTGTGTGTGGAGAGAAAGATTTAATGATTTCAGTGTGCTTAGGAAGGTAAATTAGGCTGCTGATGGTGCATGTCTCTACTGTTGCAGCTTCTAGGTTTTATCCAGAAGAAGGGCAAAAGGATATGGAGAATACGGGGATGTCCAGGGAAAATTACTGTGAGGAGTGCCGTGGACTGGGATGAGTTCTTGAAGAGGTAGAGTCAGAGCTGCAGTACTTTCTTAGAACCAGATCATGTGGAGTGGCTGGAGGAGCAGCAGTAAAGAAAGCAAAGGAGGTGAAGGGAAAGGGTGAAAATGTTTTGGGAGTCTAGGTAATAACGAATAACTGGGGGGGACGACGACAGCGCAACATGGAGCATAGGATGAGTTTCCTTGTTTCATGTGTGAAGGTGGGAGGAATTTTTCATTTGTCCCAACCTGTTGCAAAGATTAAAACTTTCTAGCATTGAACTTGGAAAATTTGCATCCATAATACAGATAAAAATCTCACTTACATCAGTACCTCTAGAATCCAGCCCAGGCAGCTGTTTTCCAGCATGCACACGTGCTTCAACATACAGAATTAATGCTCTCTGTTTTGTTTTCTGGGTTGTTTTTTTTTTTTATTATTTATCTTGAGATCTGCTGGAGCAGGTTTCCTTCTGAGAGCATTATGTAACCATGAATTGAATTGGATTGCTCATTCAAAACATGGTATATCTGCTAGATCAAGAAATCTGCTTTTATTTATTTATTTTGCATTTAGCATTCAGTGTATGTTGGGAAGAAAACTTTTCTGTGTTTCTGGCAGAAACTTGAAAAACAAAACATATAACCTTGTAATAATTTACTATAAACCCTAAAATTCTATTTCCAGTGTAGTGGTTTTTTCTTATGTTACTAGAGAAACCGTGTGTAGTCTGGTTATAAGCCTGGGAAATACAGTGCCTGCATCTTAATTTTTTTTTAATACCCTTTTTTTTTTTTTTTTTTTTATTCCAGCGATATGCTAAGTTACGTGGCAGGCTTCTGTGTATTGCAGCAAGATTTTTGTGGCCCTGAGATGTCACTGGCAAAAGACTGCTTAGAGTTTCATACCACTTATAAATGGCTTTTAATTAATTAATTACTAGGAGGAATGCAGCATGATCAATACTACTAGACCTTATTTTCCAGAGTGGGGGAGGGCAGCCTGTTGGTCAGAGGCTACCTGTGGCCCTCAAAGCAGTTTATGTTGTGCCTAAAAGGAATTTGCTGAAGATGCCTCTGTGTGGTAATTGTCATGGTATGTGCCTGCTTTGTTATCACACTGGCTGTTTCATTAGGTTTTTTAGGTTGGAACTGCACCTGAATATTAAGAGGGAGTGATTTTGCCCAAGCATGTTTTGCTTGCAAATAGTTGTGCCACCAAAATGTGTTGCTACCCCTTTGCTGTCTTCTAGAGATTATTACTTACTCTGGCAGAGTACTTCATGCGAGTTCTCCCTGTTCTGCTTCAAGCAAAAGGTTATACTTTTCAAATTGGTGGCGTGATCTTAGCCAGCTGCTTTTTGCTTAAGTAGCTTAATATGCCGTTAATGGAGCTGCATTAGTAGGTTCACGTTGTGACAGACTGTCTCGGAGGGAGGGAGAGACGACGACAGCAGCAGTGTTGTCCACCCGCTCAACAGGCTGTGTGTCCACACTGCCAACCAGGCACTTCTGCCAAACCGGTCAGTTCACTAGTGAACTGTTTGCATTATCAATTATGAGTTTAAAAAAAACAATAGAAAAACTCACTAAAAGCCACTGGTTAAGGTGGTCTTGGCATGCTGCTCCAAGAAGCATGAACTGCTTCAGATGAGGGATACACCTAATTTACTTTATCAAGGTTATAAATTCTCGAGGAGAAATTTTGTTTTGCATAATTCTGCTGAAAAGGTATTAAAAGTAGAGAGCATTTGCTAACTGCAACTGCTACAGTCTCATGCCATTGATGCTCTGTTGGAGGGAGAGGTCAAAATTTTGGCCTAGAGGATTTGGAGTTCCTTCGTTTTTAACTCTTGAATTGATATTTAATGAAATGTAAGGCCAACAGCTTCCCTTAGTTGTAGAAGGACTTGATACTAACATTCATGGTGGATGTTTGGTGAATGGGTGGAGCCTGTGGTGAGTGAAGGCTAACCTCCGAGTCAACACCTCATATCCCTGCTCTTACAAACTCCTCAAGACAAAATGTCAAGTGCAGAAAGCGTACATAGTGCCATACAGTAGCAGGTGTCAAGTGGACCCCAGTGAATCACACTTGCGGTTTTAATTTTCTAATGAGTGCCAGTCACTTAGCTGCTGTTTCTTCTGCTAGCTAATTACCTTGATGAGGACAGCTCTTGATCCAGCAACCGGAGCAGCAAAACCTCACTTCAAGGAGGAATGGAACGTGTGTGCCCTGATGTGCTTTTTTGCTGCCTGTCATGGGCTAGGATTAGCACTTGTTCAGTGAGCCAGATGAGGAAGCTGATCCAGCTGGGAGCTAACCTGACAAAAATGAATTGTGAGCAGCATTGACGGCTACACAAGGAAGGATTCTTCCTTTTGCTGGGACCTGCTTGTGGTTACCTCAGCTTAGAATGACTATGAATTGCACAGGCAACCCAGCAGAGACTTAAACATTGGTGGCTACTGTTGTAACAGCAAGAGGTCATGGCATTGCTTGCTACTGAGTAATGTTGTCCTCTGCTAGCAAAACTGGAAAACTAGCAGTAAGTTAGGATTGCTAGCTATTTTGATGCCTGCTGATGTGGATGGTATTATGTCAGTTTCTATATTATTTTTAATCTCCAGTGATGTTGCTGACAAAGTAATTTTCCTTACCTTAAGAAAAATGTATATGAGGAGTTAGTCAACACATTGTTGGTGTGTTTGTTTTTGTTGGGTTTTTTTTTTCTTCCCCAGCCCAAAGGAAAATGCCATCCCCTGATACTCAGAAAAGAGTTTCAGGTACTTTGCCACTTGGATCTGGTCTATGATGTCATGCTGTAGCTTAAGATCTGAAGAAGGTGTTGTTTCCTCAATGCCTTCCTCCCTTGCTAGCTGTCTTTGGGCAGCTGTCTGCTTTGACTAGGTGGCCTTGCTTTACAGGTGTGGAGTTGATTTCTTCCCCTCTTTGTTGGGGCTTAGCAGAAATAATTATCCTGAAGGAACGCTCACTTGAACAAGTAAAATCTTGTCACTACCTCTGGCATTTTACAGCTAATAACTTGTCAATGTCTAAAAGTAATGACTTCTAATAATGTGGCGTCAGAGGCTAGGTGTACCCAGGCTTGACGTGTTAAACCAGTAATTCTAGAGGTCATGTTTCTAGATCTTTCTTGCTCCCTGCTATTTTCCAGACAAATTATTTGTCTGCTCCTGGTTCATTGTGAGTGGCTTAACAAAATAACTCCCTGTGAAAGGATTTGAAAAGCCTTCTGAGACTTTACATGTTTTTTTGTTCTTAAAAGCACATGGTCACTTTGAAATCATGAAAGTTGTCAGCAGAGTTGTGGTTCTGCAAAAGATATGTAAGTCCGCCATCTGGCAAGATTTTGGCAGAAGGGAAACTTCTGTCGTGACCTGCTTAATTTATGTAGGTTCTAGATAAAGGTGTTATGTGCAGAGTAGGCAAGAATGCAAACAAATCCCTTTCAGCACATCAGTAGAGATAAGGTCCTAACTTGCAGCAGTATAGGGAGTCTCCCAACTCATCTGGAGGTGAGGTGGGACAGTTCCTTGTGTAGAGAAGGAAGAGGGCAGGAAACATGCTGCAATTTCTTAACTGTTCCAGAACGCGAGTGGTAAAAGCTCTTTTCCTTCAGGGGCCTTAATGTACTTAGTATGGTTGTGGAGCCTGGGTACTACCTGGTAATACTCTTAAATTGTTGGTTTTAGCAAAGATATTCTGTTTTCAGCTTCTGTAATTCTTTATGAGAAGTTAAACTAATAGGTGATCATCAGTAGACCTATTGGTACCAAAGAAACCAACAAAGCTTCCTGCCAATGACAACTAAAGAAACTTCCCAAATAAAAGAATAAATACTGTTGTTCCTTTAACTGTTAGGTTAAAAATGCCAATTTTTATCAGATTGCAGGCCAAAATTGTCTACAAGTGCCTTTTGGCATTGCATTATGCATATCGGGGTACTGCCTCAACCAACTGCTTAATATTTTGTGCATTTTCCATCTCAGGTCTTTGATGCTGGTGACTACTTCGGTATAATGCAAGTAGAAGAGGTGGATGAGGAGGAAGAAGGTGATGAAGAAATGGAAGAAGAATTTAAAAAGAAACCAAATCCTGGAAATGAACCTTGTTTCAAAGTTATTGTAACAAATGAGAATGGGCTTCAAGCCTCCAATCCTAATAGGTGAGTAGTGATTTCAGAACTAGTATTCAGTCTTTAGATAATCTTAAACCCTAAAATGATACAGACAGTTTGCTTTAAAACTTGTTTGATCCTAATGTATTCAGAAATCCTCTTTTCTTACTATAAGACATAGCTGCCGGTTTGAGGAAAGGTGCATGCTGTGAGACACATCTTGCAAAGGGTACTAAGGAGTGCAAGCATCTTAACATTTTTCTTTTTTAAATCACACAGGAAGGTGCTTAGAAATCAGTTTTAGTAAACTGAGGGAGAAAATAGGGAAAAGGCAACCTTGAAATGAATTCTGCAGAAAGAAAACAAAAACTTTGTATCTGCAAGACTGTGTGCCCTTGGGAAAAAAAAAAAAAAAATGAAGAAATAATTGTGACCTTCACAAAACTCAGGCTAAGGAGGTACTAAGCAGCTTCAAAGTAATAATCGATGGGCCATTAGATTTCTTCCAGTTGGCTAAAATATAATTCAAGAGTGTGACTGTGTGATTGCATGCATATATAACTTAAAACATCAAGTTACTGTCGGCTTTCTTCAGAATCAGCTTATCTGTGATGAATATGAAACTAGTATGCAGCTATAAAACTGGAAAAAAGCATAAGAAACAGCTTAATGCTACAACACAGCTTTTTGTGTTCTTACTGATTGCAAACATTTGAAAGCCTATTTGTCATATATTAATAAACGGCAGTGAGATGAAGTAAACTGCTGGAGATCTAAACACAATTGTGCTCAGTTCCATAAAATTTCTTTTGCCAGAACTTTCATACTTTTGAGGTCTTAGGTAAACATACAAAGTCTAAAAATGTAAATTTAGCCTTGATGGGTAAAAGCAACATAGAGCATAGGTATCTGCCTTTACATGCCCACTTTAACCTAAGTCATTACCTTTCTAAATCTGAGAGCACACTTAAATTATAAAGTTCAAAACCGCTCCTGTGATAATCTTGGGCTTCATTGCAGCATTCAAATATGTGGGAATGTAGGAGCAGAACACCAGCACACCTGCTTGTGAACAGATTTCCAAAAAGCTTGGCTTTAGCATCTTATGGAGTCTTTAATTTTAAAATTAAATGAGGTTTCTTCTGTATGTGGAATCTGAGATACACCAAGTATCCATGAATAGTTATTGTACGTGACAGCTGACATGGTTTTAACTTTCTGAAATATGGGGTGGTTTTGTTTGGGAAGGAGTTGTTGGGTTTGTTTGTTTTGCTGGGGGTTTCTTTAGCAAGTAGAATTCAGATTCTTCTCTGACTTGATTCAGTAAGAGGATATCACCAAAATGTGGAGAACCCTTCTGTTTAAATAACTATGTGTTTTTTGTAAAAATCATGCAGTCTAAACAAGGCTTAAACTTGTCAAGAGAAGCTGTGCCAGTTGTGTATGAATTTGTTTTGGGTTAGACTGGCAATTCTTTTAAAACAATGCATTTTTTCTAAAAAGACCTGGCGCAGGGGAAACACCCTGAAAAACCCAAAGAGAAACAGTCAAAAAAACTTAATATTTTTTTTAATAGCAAATTATACGGGCTTTTGATGATCGGATCCCTCCACCTAGTGTTTTACATATGACGGTAGATGTCACAGAGCTCATGGCTAACAAGATCTTCGAATACTTTTTTTCAAAAAAATGTATTGTTTTCCTTCTTCAGGCAAGAATATTAGGTTGATGCAGTGGAGTTAATAATGATTGAAAGGGAAGAAACTCTTGTGTTCCTGGCCTTTAAAGGGAACCGCGCTTATGAATTGAGTGCCCAGTTCTGTGTTTGCTCTTCATTTTCATGGAAATGCTAACATACAATAAGCTTTCTAGAACAAAAGCAAGAGTGTAAGTTACTGCTGGGAGCTTGTTCCTAACCTGTAATGTCGCAAGACTTAGTTATCAAACCATCTACAAGGAAATGTAGCTCCTATTCACAGAACATTTGGCTGTATACATGTAAAAATATACCGTTGTAATGTTACCAACATTCTCTTTAAGCATTTTCCTCATCGACCATGCCTGGACATACCGTGTTGAACATGCCCGCCAGCAGCTACTTCACGTACCTGGTTTACTGCACAGAATGACAAATCTCATGGGAATCAGCTTTCACGGAGAGATCCCAGATGAGGGCAGTATTGAGCAAGTGTTGCAAGAAATGTGGAAATACAATCAGACCTACCAGCTTTCTCAAGGGGTAAGTCTTTAAAGCCTAATTAGGATGCTAAAAAGTTCTGAGCAATCCTGAGTGAAGACATTCCAAAATATGCCTGTTACCAAAGATACGTTTTCAATACAAAAAAGGTCCTTTACAGGCATTTCAGAATAAACTTCTAATTGGAAGGAGAGCACATGCCAGGTAGGGCTAAAATGCACAGTGGCTCGCTACCAGCTTTCTGCTCAGAACTTTGTTGTGTTTTGGGTTTTTTTCTGGTTTTTTTTTTGGTTTGGTTTGGTGGTTGTTTTTTTTTTTGTAGAAAGGGGAGGAGACCGCTGCAAAAGAAGGGGGCTAGAAGGGGGAGATCTGCTTGTATGTTATGTGGGTTTTTTCTGCTCAAACTATCTCATAGTGAGGGAAAGAATCTGTCACGTATCAACTGTCTCACATAAAATTGTGTCTCTCAGCTATGCTCACAGTTCTCCTCACCTGTATAGAGTCCTTTACATAGCAGGGATCTATCTACACTGTGAAATAACTTCCTTGTTTGTATTTGGCAGAGGATTGTCTGTACTGTGTAAATGTTAGCACACCCTTGGGTGAGAACCAACTAGCTTCAAGACGGAGCCTAAGTGTTTCTGGACGTAGTTTACTCCAACAGCTGCTACTTTTAGGTAGTGTGGGTAAGACTATACCAGCTTTGGTCCCTCTGCCCTACATAATCCTTCAGCACTGTACCAGCAGGTCTTGAGCTTTGAAACACCCTCCAGTGCATACATGCCATTTCTGAGGGAATACAATTCTCAGGGTTCAGTTAAAAACTCTCTTGTAGGGGTTGCAATGTACCTCCTCGACTATTGTGAGTATTTTGGATTAAAGAGGAGAAAGGCAAATTCTTCAGACCAAGCCCTGTGTGGAATGGGTAGGGCTAATCCTGAGCAGTGTGAGCATGACCAACCTGCACCTCTTAACTCAGGGGCTTGAGGTTGTTCCCTGGAGTGGACACCTTTATCACTTAAGGTGTCAGCTTAGATCAGAGTAGTATCAGGTGTGAAAAATCCCTGACAAAGGGATTAGTTGTGACTGCTTTTTTTTTTTTTTTTTTTTTTTTTTTTTTTTTTTTTTTTTTTTTTTTTTTTTTTTTTTTTTTTTTTTTTTTTTTTTTTTCTTTAAATAAAAGGGATATCTGGACAGTGTCTCTCAATCTTTCTACTCTGTCTTTGTTTCCCATCTTGTTATGAATGGCTTCTGAGTTGGGTGGAATTATCTGTGTTACCACTTGAGAATTGCTTTCCTGGAAGACACTTAATTCAACTTGTAACTGAATTTGTCTTCTATTCCCCTTTCTGGCACTGGGCTGCTTGAATATCTTAAATCTAATCTCTGTGCTTCCATTACCACATCTGTAGAAGGGCAACAGTAGTGCTACCAAGCAATTTAAAGTTTATTCATTCATTCAGGGTTTTATCATGACAAGTGTTGCAGGGGATGATGCAGACTCAGCACTCTTACAGCCAGCAGTTGTTGCAGGGGCCAGTTCTGCTCTCGTTCACTCTTAATCTGTAAACTTCCAACTTGTCCTTGTAGTGGACTGGTTCTGATAGAAACTGCAGGAAAACTAACCCTAATTGAAAAAAAAAAAAAAAAACCCACCACCAAACAGCCTTCTACTGCTTTAGTTCCCTGAGCTGGCTAGTTTGGTAGAGGGGAAGCAGGTCTGGTAAGCAACAGCAGTAGCATAAGAAAGAGGATGGGACTGTGCAGCTGAGATGGGAACAGGCTGTTCCCAGCACTGGCCGGGTGCTAGGCTGGCTTAGCCTCAGAGGTGCAGGGATGGGAGTGTTACTCTGTACTTTGCACCTCTTCACAATCTTGGCTAGATTAGGAAACAGAAATGGTGTAGGAGGTGCTGCCAGCACCTTCTGTCTTGCAGTGCTTTTTTAGCAATTGATATGTGTGGGATGTCTCACTGTCTTTAATTGTACAGACTGCTGAGGAGAAGGTTCCTGTCTGGTACATTATGGATGAATTTGGATCACGTATTCAGCATTCAGATCAGCCTAGCTTTGCAACAGCACCTCTGTTTTATATGCCTCAACAAATTGCTTACACTGTTCTCTGGCCTTTGAGAGACCTTGAAACTGGTGGTAAGTGCGTGTCTTGAAAGTATTTTTTTTTTTTATGCCTACAACAGAAGATGTGCCATATTCTTACAAATCACTGAGCACTTCACAGCAGAACAAATATTTCAAGACCAAAATGACTGCATGTTTGCAGAGCTATCAAATTTAAAAGTTCTCTGCCTGATACTTCTAGCACCATAATTTATGAGATAGAGGCCTTCATATGTCAAAAAATTTAAACGTTTTATTGACAGAGAACTTAAATCTTGCATCACTGTCTTAGTGAAACTGCTGATTTAGTCATCTGAGAGTTTAAAAAAACCCAAACCCTTAAATTCTGTGTTTGTGGCTTTGAGTCAAAAAGTCAAGTACTTGAAGTTGGGCAATGCCAGGCCAATGATTTGCTCATGTAATATTGGTTGGGGGCAAACTTATACCCCTGTCATGTAGAGGAGGTAAGTGCCCAGCTGTCTGACTAAACTGGCATAAGTCAGATGGTTTTGGACTAATTTTTGTATCCTAAATAATACCCTTTTTAATGTAGTTCTTTAATTATCTCTAATTTTGCATTTAGATTAAAAAGTTGTGGTGGTATTACCTGTTCAGCTGTCACTGGTGTGGTGTTGCATGAGGAGGATTTTCAGTGGGGAGTGAAAGGCAGTTCCTAGAAGGTTCTCCTTGTTTTGCTTGCAGATGAAGTGACTCGTGATTATGCTTATGGGGAAACAGATCGCTTGATCAGGAAGTGTGTTTTGTTACCTTGGGTGCCTAATGAAGTGTTGGACGTCAACTGTTTTACACCAGAGCCATCAGATGATCATTACCAGGTATAATTTTAACAAATCTCTTATTTTATCTAGAGAGAGAGTGTGTGAAAACATCACAAGAATTCTGATTTTGCTTCTTTTTAGGCTTAAAGATTGATTTAGAGAATACCTATTAACTACAAAAAAACCCAGATCATTGCATAGAAAGCATGTTGAGACAAGGAACGTCTTACACGTAATATTTAACTGTTTAAAAAGTGAAGCAGCACAAATTATTTTCAATATGTTACTGCAGTATTGTATAACCTTTTTTATAAGCATGTTCGTATGAGGTACCCACCTTCCAGTTAGGTATTTGAGACATTGTCTAATAGGCTTACCAATTGGATTTATTACTGTAGCACTTTTGGTCAGTCTTGAATTATGGGAAGAGTTATTTTAGTATTCTGGGAGTAGTTATATTTTTAAACCTGGCTACACATGTAGTGTTATGGCTTAGAACCATTAAATATTGGAGCAGAGATGTCTTTAGTTTGATGGCACTGCTATTCATCTGTTTTGTTTTGAGCTCTCCTTTCTGCTAAACGTTTGTGATATTTTAAGGATGTGAAATTATTGTTGTTTCAATGAACCAGATCTGCATGAGGTTCTTTTTTATGAAAAGTGAAGGAACCTCATGCCTATGAGGACACTCTACTGTCCACTAAGAGCATTCAAAGTGTGGTTTCTAAAGACAAATCTATACTCTACCACAACTGTATGTTTCTTGTGATGGAGGATAGGCAGAAAATGCTGGATCCAGCTTGTTCTTAACAGTATCTAGTCAGAAATGAAGTTTCTGCCAAAGATAGATATACATTCAAAATAGCTAGGCTGTCTTGTAACCTAAGTTAGATTGGTTGTTTGAGATTTTACATTTTTGGTAGGGGGATAGATGTACTTTGCATTTACAGATGAGGAAGAACAGTGCACCTATAGTTCATGTCTTACAGGCATTCTCCTGGCAAAAGTACCTGGATCTTAGATAAGGCAATTTTTTACATGTGTTTTAATTCTGTTTTGGGATGACCGGGTCAAGTTAAAGAATTGTGTGTGCCAAATGGGCACAGTATCCTCCTTTACCACCCCACCTTAAAAACATCTTCTCAAAGCATCCTTTTTTTTCTTTACTGTGTCTCTGCACTAAGCTATTGAGAGGAGATGACAGCAAAATATTGATGCTGGAACCAACCAGCAGAGCTTTCTTTTACTCTAGAATGTCTACCTGTAGATTAAAGTCTTAACTGGTGACAGATCAGTGAAGAATAGCTTAGGCACAGCACATCCTTAAACACCAAAAGTGAGATGGCTAGAAAGAGATACCATGTTGCTGGCTGACACTTCCAATTCCCATGTTGTCACGTAAGGAGAGCAGCATGTGGAAAAAAGCACAGACAACTTCAAAGGTTTGTTTACAGCATTAATATGTGAGCCAGCAGTTCTGCAGGGAAATTGTGTGAAAATATTTCTAAATGTTTGTGCAAGTCATACCGTTTCAAAATTGTTTGCTGCTATCACTGTACAATTTCTGCAACTGCTTTACTACTATGTGCAAATAATCATTTGTTGTTAAATGGGCTGTGTTGTTGGTTTTTACTGTAGCTAAGGATGTTACATTTCTTATTCTACTTTTTCTTAAATAAACCTGAAGGCTTCAGTGTTCTATTTAAAAAGAATCACAGTGTGGTTAGAGCAGCATTGCAGCTTAACTTTTACCTGGTTTTCGTTCTGTTACCTAATTCTGGTCTCCCAACACAGACCACAAAGGCTGTAACTTAAATGGTACTATGGGTAATGATTGGGCAATGATGCAGAAACCAGTGTCAGGGGACATGGCTTCTACTGAAGTGTCTGGGATGGAAGAAGTATCTCTTGGGGACACTAGAGCAGCTGCTGTTCTGCAACAGCTCCCTGTGTTCAAGTTGTGGAAAAGACAGTAATGAATCCTCTGGTAACTGTTCTGAGAATTGTAGTAGTTTCCTCTTAAAAAGTACAGACTCCCTTCCTATTCTTAGGTGACTGCAGGAAGTATGTTGTATTTGTACTGTCCAGTCTATTTTAGAAGGTGATGTCTAAGATCTTTGATTACGATTGTGATTTTGTTTATGCTTATCATACATAACTTTAAGGCTGTAATAGGTAAGAGGTATGTCTACAGCTGGACGCACATTTCACCACTGCAACTTAATGAAGACAGCCTGCAGCAGCTGGAACTCAGAAAGCTGTTACAGAACACCAACTACTTCGGTTTCTCAAGATGCACCTCTCCCATACCAGAGTTTTTGTGAGCTACTTCCTTTGGCAGGGTATCAGCAATGTTCCAAATGTGTATTTCCTTTTATCAGTCAGAGGTGTTGTAAAAGATGGAGTGAGATTTTTCAAGCATGTTTACTGCTGAAGACTGCAAAAAGCCTTTTGCTCATTTTTACAGGTTCCGGCCTCCTATAATTTTTTTAGTTATCTGTAATAGAACATGGCTAAATGCTCGGTCTTCCATTTTGTTGGAAATAGAATAACTTTGTCTTTTACTGCATATGATCATGTAACTTGATATTTTGTTTAATGCTTAGGAGAAATGGGAATTTCTCAGGGTGCTTCAACAGTGCTGATAAGCCCTGGTCTTGAAGCCATATTTCTTGTTCCTTTTTTACTAATAGCCTCTTAGCTCTTATTCCCTCCTGCCTCTGCTCTTGTACTGTTTGGGGTTTTTTTCCTGAGAAGCATACTACACAACATAATTTATTTCTCAAAATGCAGCTTTGGTGGAATTAACTTGCACCAAATACTTGCATACAAATGCAGCTATATGCATGTATTTAAATACTTATATGGAGATAAGGAATTGCAGAAAATTATCTGTAAAGGTTTACAGTTTGAGAAAACTTCAACAGGCTATTGCTAATAAAACACTTGGATTAACATTGAGTCATACAGAATATTTTACTTATAGCTTCTCCTTAAAGATTATGGTTTTTTCAATCACTTCTTTTATTAACCTGATTATGTGCACTTTAAAATTCAGTTTAGCCTAAGTTGCTGTTCATATCTGCTGAATATTGTGGAGTTTGACCTAAAGCTGCTCCTTTATTCTGCCTAGTATTAACTTCTTGTGGTTTTTTTTGGTTTTTAGGCTATTTTGGCAGAAAACAAGGAAAAACTGCCTATAGCGATAAACCCACCAGTTTATGACAAAGACAAAATTTTCAAGTACGTATCTGCAAACAAAATGCTTTCTTACCAAGATCAAATATAATAATTGCAGTGTGCTTAGGCTGAACAGCCTTTTCTAGCCTTGAACAAGAGAGGCAAGTTGAACATGTGTTTATATGTAGCCACTTGCTTACAATCTTCTCAACAGTTGTTGTTGGATTCTTCAGAGTAAATGGACTGTCATTTGCAGAATTTCTAAAAATAAATTTAGATTATTTCTTTTTAAATAGGTGCCACCTTCTGGATGAAAGAGAAGTTGCATAATGTTGTAATGCTTTTTTCACTAAGGAGTACAACTAAAGTATATAAAAAAAAGACTAAAGACTTTTCCTCTGCATTATAGCATGTGTGTCCATAGGGGTACATGTGCTTCTCTGTGCTGTGGGAATATAACAGACTATTCCCCTTCTTCAGATGAGATTGCCAAACTGGAATCTTGTCCAAACCTGGGATGTTTTAAATTGGATATGTGCCCTACTACAAAAATGGAGTGTATGGTGTAAAACTATTTCAGAAGAAAGCTGGAAGAACATTGCAAAGCTAAGAGATTTTTGTGAGCAAAAGCAGTGGCACTGCATGGCTAGGCTGCCTTATTAATAGTTTTATTCCAGAAAAACATACTATTACGTAGAATGTGCTGTGAGTTGCACTCCATGGTGTTTGTAGTCTGACACTGGGATCCAAATTCTCTGTTGCAATATTTTGCTTAAGTGATGAGGTTAGGCTAAAACATATTGGGTAGGTATACTCACACCCCAGCCTCTTGTGTTGAGGGGATTTATTACTCTACTTGAGAAGAACTACTGAAAATTAAAGTCACTTTGAGTTGAGAGGCATTTGTTAATTTGATCAGTGATAGTCTAGATCTCATTATGCAATTGAAATCTCCGGTTGCAAGACTGAGGATAAGCAAAAGCTGTTTTTTCATCCAGTGTACTTGCCTCTATTTCAGATAAGGGAGTCAAAGGTAGATGCATTCTAATAGAGATGGAAAGAGACAGTGTGGGTGTTCGGAAATGTGGACTTACTTTTCTCTTTATTTTGCATCTCATATTTCAGGTGAATGGCATTCGCATCAGGGAGGCAGGGAGAGAAGGAGGGAGAAACACATGCCAAATCCTTCCTGTTCTTCTACGGAATGTCATCAATGCTCTGTCCATGTACTCCTAAGGGTTTTCCTCTCTTCTTTATCCAATTCCTATCTGGAGAGGAGAAGGGACAGCAGCTTGGCCTCCAGAGGAGGCCAGAAGGTCCTTCTTGTGTACTGAATTTCATCTACTAAAGCTCCTCCAGGAGCAGGGTAGCATAAGTAGTAGTAATGGCAGTGTTAGGTTTAATGGCAGTGTTAGGTTAACAGTTGGACTTAATGATCTTAAAGGTCTTTTCCAACCTGAACGATTCTATGATTCTATCTCAGAGTCCAGATGACCTAGTGGGAGTTGCAATCTTCCAGTGCTCTTGGCCTCTTCCAGAGCTTTAAGCGTTTTAAGGCTCTCACCATAGACAGGCAGGTGGGAACGTGCAAAGCTGGGTAGATATGCATAGCCTGTTAATGTATATGCTCCGCCGTGTGGATTGCCACTGTTTTAGGGGATTCAGAAGAAATTAAGTGCATGAGGCTGCAAAGTTTAGAACCTGGGACAAATTCTTAGACATTTTGTTTCCAAGTAGAGCTAAGACGGAGAATGGGAAGATAAAATAAATGTTTAACCTGAATCCTGAAAAGCAGGGGAGCAAATTCATGTAGTTTGATATAGCAAAATTATTGGTTTAAGTAGGTCTTGTAGGATTAATAATAACTGCTGCCCTAGGGAGATCGTTCTATCCAGCTGTGCTGATTGCTGGCTTGAAAAAAAAAAGGTGGATAAAAGAACTAAATGTTTCAAAGGCAAAATTCATATGAAAAGTCCTTCCAGTTTGTGTTGGGCTTGATCATACTTTTTTTTTTTTCCTCTTGATCTTCCCTTTCATGTTTCTCTTCAGCTACATCAGTCATTTTTTAAAGATGCCCAAAGATCTGTTATGAGACGACAACTCTTTGTTTTGACCAGTCTTGTCAGCTCTGTGCTTTGGGAGCTGGTTTTCATAAGCTTCTTGGCTTTAAGTGCTTTGAGTAAATTAAGTAACATCTAACATGTTTTATCTTACTTGCACAATTCCACTGAATAAGATCTTTAATCCCAGACTTTATAGCGTCTGTATGGCAAGGGGGGAATCATTCAGGAATTGTGGTTAGCTCGTTTCATTAGTTCAGTTTGTCATTGATACTGGAATGAAAGGTCAAAAATAGGTTGGCTAATACCACAGTATTGCAGTGTAGAGGTTCTGTCATCTGTCAAACCCCAAATGGGACATGGTGCATTTCTTATCTGTCTGTATTTTCACGTGTATATGTGGATGTGTATTATCAGAGTAGACCTTGGAATGTGTGTCAACTTATTTAACTAAAAACATGGGAATACCATGGGAGATCCTACATGCTCCTTAGATAACAGCAAAGGAATTGCCCAGTAGTTGTCACATGCCTGCCCTTATAGTCTGTGTTCTTCAGTGCACAGGTCTCTTTTCAAATGTATGCATTAATACTGGATATACTAAAGTACCTAAGAGAATCTGACTACTAAACTCAGTGATGGGTATTGGCAGTGAAATACATTAATTTTATATAGTGTTTCAATGAAATATTCATTCTCAAAATTAAATCATCTGCCTTCCAGAGTCTTTGACTGTCCCAAGACTTTTATGGTAAGACAATTGTGTAAAGAACGGATGGAGTAACTTAAAAACTTGGAACAAGCAGAACGGCCTTATTTTCCCTCTAATCTTAACCTCCATCAGTTTATTTCAGTGGTCTTCCTGCACTTAGCAAAGATAGATTGAGCTCCCTTTTTATTTTGTGCTGCATGTTTGTGTTCTATAGCCAAGCCTTAAGATACATGATCCAGAGTGCTCTAGCACATGAATTTCTTAGCAAGACTTCAAGATTAAGAAAGCAGGCTTTTTATTGTTAATGTGAGTAGCACCTCTGTGAAATCTTGTGTATAACTGTAAGCTACTGGGGAAAAAAAAGGTCTTTGATAACTATATATTATAGAAGATACCACTGTCTTCTGTGCATCTATAAAGGCAGCTCAGCGTTGTAGTGGGAAGTTTTTGAAAGGGAAGTATTAGTTTTAAGGAAGGGAGTTCTTTGTTTTTAAGACTTAAATGGGGAGGAAAAGAGTACCAGAATCTATCTTTAAGCCTGCTGTTTGAAGTGACTGAATGCAGGTCACTACTTTTATTTCTGTGTGGTGTAGAGCTTGTGTAGAGCATTTAAGTGGATTAACACTGTGGGGAAATGGACTTTTTGGATGTGCAAGAGGAGGTGACCCACCTGTTAGCTGAATCCGCTATTTGTGTAAAGAACACCCTGCTCTTCAGCTGAGAAAAGAAGCTGGTGCATAGCCAGCAGTGGGAGTTTATTACTAAATGATGTATTTGCAAACACGGAATAAAAAGAGCATGAGGGAACCTCTGACTGAGGTCTAGGGAATGATGTGGAATAAGATTTAGTGGAGTTATCAGATGCTGCCAGGCTCTGCAGGCGTCCTTCCATGCTGTGTTAAGGCCAAATGCCTTGGCCTCAGGACTTTGTTACAGCAGCATTTTTCATACCGTTGCCTCTTTCTGAGTAGAGTAAGGGAGTTTGCCACAGGGGTTATGGTTTTGTTTGGCCTTAAGCACTGATGAATCTGTTTTAACACCTTAGGTTATAGTTCAGCCTCATTGTTACCCTAGTTGGAAGAATTGTGAGAACCATAAGTTGATGAACCAGAGGTTTCAAAGGTATTTGCTGCAGCTGCAACTGGAAGGGATGGAAGCCTTACTCTTTTTGACTCCCAAAGATCCCTTACTGAGTTACTTCCAATACTTTCAGTAAACTTTACCTGTAAGTGCATTCAAGTTCTCCAGGTTCATATGCAAAGGAGTCCTATCTGGGACTCTTCATAGCTCTGATGTAACACTAATTTTGAACCAAGGTTTCACTTTTCTCTCTGTCCTGGAGAAAGCAAGTGTAACCAGATTGGTTTTGCAGATAACTAAACAAATGATTGTAGAGCCTTAGCCCAACTCTTGACTGTGGCTGTACTCCAAATACATAACATTATACAAGTTTTATCCAACCACATTGCTTCTCAGAGTGAGTGTATCAAACTCTGTACTTGGCTGTATTACTCTTGCCCTTTTTCCTGAGCTGGGAACCGGACACCGCTCACATAGCCTGGAGCGGAAGCTGGGAATCCTGAAGGCCAGCATTCCAGCACTCTGCCACAAAAAAACTGTGCAATGTGTTGGCAAAGTGTTTCCATACCATGGTAAAGGGGCTAAATCACAAGAAGGGGTGGAACACACACACACGCACCCCCAAACCCTATTGCTGCTTCTCCCATTTATTGAGTGGATTTAACAAGCAAAATAGGTCCATTGTGTAGATCTGATGATCCTCTTGCTACTAAGATCTATTAGCTAGGTTTGGATCCAGCTACACAGGACTGGTGTCTGCAGGATGATAACTTGTATTGTAGGGTGTGTTCATAAGGGACTGATCTGGGACTGTACGAGCAACTTAAATTCTCGTATTTCTTGTGTTGCATGTATTCTTGTGTGTGTATTCGTGTGGGGATGTTGGATGCTTCAAGACTTCATTGCAGCGTTATAAGGCCTTTTGTCTTCACTTTGATTACCTTTTAATTCAGCAACAACTAAAAGTTGCTCCAAACCAGTGGATATTTGGGTAGCTTGTATATTAAATAGGTTTGGCGGAACTTGTACTGGGTCCTGTACCAAACTGCTATTTCCCCTAGTGTGCACACTTAAAAGAAGCCAAGCCACATATTGCAGAAAGAAGTGCTAGTGAGGCTGGATGAAGATAATAACTTTGCTCTGTTGCAATGGTGAGGAAAGATTGGTGACTTCTTTCAACAGGGATGCCAGGCTGATTCTCTTCAACTACAGTGAAATCAGCTCTCTTAATCTTAGGCTCCAACATAAATAGTATAACCGTTGTAGTATGTCACACACGGAGCTATGCAAAACATCTTACATGCTTTTTCTTTTAAAAGAATGTATTTCCCCCTGTGACAGGGCTATTTTTACAGTTCATTATTTCAGAGAAGTCTCTCTCAAGGGAATATATCTTCTAGTTGGTTAGTAGCAGAGGAGGGGAGGAAAGTTACACAACTGATAAGAATAGGTCTGGACAGGAGGAAGAATATCATCATTTCTCATGGAAAAAATTAGTGGTTGCTTAGTCTGTTTAAATGTTCTCTTACCATGAGAACTGTTTTCTATGTCAGTCTTACTTTTTGAATCATCATGCTGAATTCTGAATTGAGTGACCTCACTTTAAGCTGTAAAATCATCAAAACTACCTATATTGCTATCTGCTTGTTTTAGCATATCAGGTAGCCAAGTCACCAGTTTTATCTGGGAGGGGAATTTCCTAAGATATGCAACATCTTGCGTCATTCTTTGTTGTGTTCTGTAATGTGTATCAGGTTTGGCTTGGGGTTTGGTGTGTTTTTTTTTAATGGGGCTGGGAGGGGATTTGTATTGGATCTCAAAGTTGTTTGTACTTCTTGCATATACGTCATGTACATACTTTTATATGTTTTGATTGCTTGGAAATGTCTCTGAAGTTCTGAAAATAGTCTTCTGAAGCTACTGAGTTAAACTGACAAGATTTCCTATAGATTCTTTCTTGTGAATGACAGCGGGTTGATTCTTAGGGCTCTTCCAGCTGGTCTCTCAACAACAAGGTCTCTCTCAGGGACTTTTCATGTAGAATAGTGAATTCGTGTTAGTGCTTGTCTGTCGGGGACTTAGTCACTGTCTTCTGAATTGCTATTTTTGTGAAAGTTGTAGGAGCTGAACTATCTTTGAGATTTCTCTCAAAATACATTTTTTTTAACCTGCCCCACTTCAATTAAAATGTTTCTGTGGGTTAAGAAGAGATTGTCACAGGTAGTGTGTATCAGTACAGCGTAATTCTTGTAGGAAGCCAAGCTTAAAACTTTTTTTTCTGTTCAAGCAAGAGTTGATCAGTTTCAGAAACCGAACTCACATTTTTCATTGTATGCCTTTTTCTTCTTCTAGGGTTTTCACAGACATTCAGCAAGTCCTCAACAACCTGACACATCCCCGTTTTGTATTCACAGACAACGAGGGAGAAGCAGATATCCTCTACAACTTCTCACACTTCAAGGATTATAGGTTGCAACTGTTCCCCTGATAATACAAATTCTTTTGTTGCTATAAAAACTGTGTTCCCAAAGGCCTCCCCAACCTTCTTCCTTCACCCAACAACTTCTCTGTTTTGTAGGAAGCTAAGTGAGGAAAGGCCTGAGGTAATGTTGAATCAGTTCCCATGCGAGAACCTCCTGACTGTCAAAGACTGCCTGGCATCCATCTCTAGACGGGCTGGAGGACCAGATGGGCCAAGATGGTTGCCTCGTACTTTTAACCTCCAGACAGAATTGCCTCAGTTCATCAGCTACTTTCAGCAACGTGACAGAAGGTGGCTTGTGTTTCCACTTCCTTACATTTTGTGCTTTTTTGATCCCACTTTCCTCAAAGACCAGTAGTCTGCATTTTGGGGTTGGCAGCTGTTACACCACCATGAGTTTGCTCTTGCTGTGTTTATGTTCAAGTGAATTTTACCTGGAAAATGTGAGCTTTTTAGATATTTTCTTTAATGTAAGGGTAGTTAAGTAATGCATTTTGAAACACAGAAACTTTGCCATGATTTGAATGTGAATTTGAAGCTGTTGCTTTTTGTCTAGTCAAGATCTTACCTCTTGTATTTAACAGATACACAAAGGATCAAAATGTGTTTGCAACAAATGTTGGGTTTTTTCCAGGTGATCAGCAGCAGTTGTTCTGGCACTTAAGCCAGAGTGTTTAAAGTACTTGGGTTCTGTAAGGCTGTGAAAGTAAAACCGAGTTTTAGTGTTAGCTTAAAGCAATTGTAGAGCTTTAGGGTTTTAAATCCACACTCTTCCTGCTGCTGCAGCTGCCTCAGAGTGGATGGAAGCTTAACTTTTTCTTTTGATAAGAGATAAAGAGAGCATTAGATGCTGCTAGTGGAATAACCTCTTAGGCCTGGTGGAGAGTATTCCAGTTGAAACATTTCTTCTTCAGTGATGCTTGCTTATTGATACATCCTGCCAGGTGTTTCCTTTGGCCATTCTTTGCTCTATGTAGTCTGTTATTGACTGGCATGACCAGGAGAGAGCGCTCCTTCCATGTATCCCTGGTGTTTGGTGTTTTAATTCCTTTTTAATACCCAGGATTAATCGCAAATGCAATGTGTATGTAGGGAATGCGAAGGAGAGGATAGGAAGTTTCAGATAAACAAGACAGACCCCTTTAAGTTAACACCACTAACTTCAGCTCAGTTTATGCTGTTTATCATGAAGCTCAAGAGGTTTATCAGGATGCTTTAATAGATTGAGGAAAGGAGTACATCAAATGTCATCCTGCCCTTACTCAGAAAGATGCATTGAAAGACCAACATGTTGCTTATTTTCCTCAAAGATATTGCAAAGAATTTTACCCTTTGAGTTATTAGAAAGTGGAAAGATGTTGATGCATTTTCATTTTCTTGCAATATGAACCGTTGAGATATTGCGTGATTTCTTCCCAAAGAGACAAGTTACAGTGTCATTTAATGCGAGTGATTTGGAGGTGTTACTAGGGGAAAAAAAAAAAATTGCACGAAAACTTGCCAGAATGTTCTCAAACTCCTGGCAGAATTATTTCTGCACTGTGGCCTGTGCATGTTTATGATGATGCTGCCCTGTTGATGGGTTGTTTTCCTTTTTTGAAGGAGTCAGATGCAGAAGAAGAAAAACAGTAAGAGCATGCTAGGCCATAATTGAAAAGATTAGTGAAAGCTGCCTTTTCTCCCCTTTATGCCTAAGGCTTCCAGCTCCCAGCTGTCAGTCAGAAGTCCTTAGTTCTTGCACTGTAGCCCACAGCTTTATAACATATTTATTCAGGGGAGTACATAGATAGTTCAAGTGAATGTTCAGACAGATGAATGAGGTGGATACTTACAGGTCTTGTCTTCTCTCTTTCTCTCTCTCTCAGAGGAGAAGACAATCACTGGATATGCAAACCGTGGAACTTGGCCAGAAGCCTGGACACCCACATCACCAACAGCCTTAACAATATCATCAGGCATAGGGAAAGTAGCCCAAAGGTTAGAGAGCATTGTTTTGAATGTGATTTAAACGGGAGAGCTGAAAAACCTGCTTCATAGAAAGAGGTCTAAAAATACAAAGAAGGAAATTAAATTTCTTCAAAATTCATAAGCATACAGTTTCAATCAATTTAGAACTGATTCAGATTCAAATTGGTCATCTCCATTTGTTGCAGTGATGAACTGAGAGCCTGGTGTTTTTCTCATTTAAAAAAATAAAACTTGCCCTGACAGTAATGAGTAACCTCAGTGTGGTGCTGCTTTAACACTAATCCTCAGACTGGCAGATGAACACATTAGCGGTAGTTAGCATTGATCATAAATTTTGGAACATTATTGCTTCTGTCCCCTGGCTGATCATTATTGCTGATCCAAAGCTCTGCTGAGTGGCACAAAGTATGGACTTTGCCAATAATAGATGAATCGTGGAGCTTTTTGTAGGGAGTCTGCAATATACAATCATACATCAGAGTGTGACTTCAGCTTTATTTCTGTTGGTGCGTGAACTGCATGTATTTTCTGGAATGCAGACATGCACAAAGAATTGCTTCACATTTCTCATTCAAAACAAGATTACTGAAATTATACATAAAACTAATATTGTGATTTATTTTTTTAATAATAAACTTCTGGCCTCCCACTTTCCCCAACCTGATGTCAAAGAGTTTGATAAAATTTGCATAACAACGTTGTGTATTCATGCACGTTTCTGAAACAGAAATGCATGCAAGAATACCTTAAATCATCGAGATCCAATGACACTTTGTTATCAATTCAGTTGAATTATATTTACTGTGTGTGGTTTTGCTTTGTTGCAGGTAGTGTGCAAATACATTGAGAATCCAGTCTTGTTTCACCGAGAAGATGTGGGGATGGTTAAATTTGACATCCGTTATGTTGTATTGCTGCGGTCCATAAAACCACTCAAACTGTATATCTATGATGTATTCTGGCTGCGCTTTTCAAATCGGTAATTACATTCTCCTCATTAGCATAGAGGGGCTTAGAATTAAATCTGATACCTTGGAAACTGAGGAGTTGTTTTATTTCCTAGAGCGTTTTCACTTGATGACTTGGATGACTATGAGAAGCATTTCACAGTCATGAATTATGCTCCTGGTGTAACACTAAAACAGGTAAACAAACAGTCCAAAACATTCCTATTCCTTTGCCTTTCCGTTGTTAGAAAATCTTTCAGTGCCTCTTTTGTGACTGTTGTCAAATAACCCATTTCACATCCACTTAAACAAGCAGTCAGCATGTTGAAAGTACCCTAGGCAAATATTTTCGTAGGTTCTTCCCCCTCTGGACCCCTAATCATCTGTGATTATATAAGGTGATACAGACCTACATCCTGAATATAATCCACATAGGTGGAGATCAGTAAAAGAATTATTAAAATGGCAGCTAATCATTGTCAAAGACTTCAGTGTGATCTTTTATAACAAGAAATACTGGAACAAGGAAGGTATTCAGGAACCGTCTAATTCCCTAGTTCTCTACCTGGGTTTGTATGAATGGAAAAAAATACTTGATGTTCCATTCTCTTGTCATCTGATTGTTTTGGCTGAGAATGACTGAGCAGTCTTTGATGTTGCTAAACTGTTCTAGGTACACTGTGAAGAATTTATTCCTCTGTTTGAAAAACAATATCCTGAATATCCTTGGACAACAGTACAAGTAAGTCAGTGATTCATCTTTCTCGTGTAAATATTCATGGATCTTTTTTCACTCAGCAACTAGCTCTTCCAAAAGTGGTGGTGGTGTTTTGGTTTTGGTTTTTTTTTATTCATAAGGCATACTTCATGTGTATCAGTTCCACAAAGAACAACAAATGTTAACCTTTATTTTAGAAGCACTTGTTAACTTCGCGTAGTTCCTCCTCAAAGATTTTGTTGTTAATATTTGAGAATTTTGTTTCATGGTTACACTATAAGAATTCTTTATATTGGACTTAGTAATAAAGCCAGTCCTGACTACCCTCAGGATCCTGGGAGTAGCATCTTTTTTCTTGCAAGTTCAATCCTTTTTGCAGAAGGTTGCCAATAATCTAAGCCCATGGTTGTGAAGACTTAGTATTTAATGCAAAAAAGGCAGGGAAGTCCAGATTATAAAGTGTGCTGATCACTGCAGATGTTGCTTATGTGACTGTGGAAAAGTTATTTTCAAAGCCTTCGCTACTTTTTCTTTTGAATAGAATATTAATGCTGATTCTGAAAAGTTGAACCACTCAAGTATTCAGGCTCTTGCGTCCTTTGTTCCAAACAGCTTCACAAGATAAGGAGCTGTCAGAACAAGGAGGAGACTGAAGTAAATAGGTAATTACAGTATATAGTCATTTCAGCGAAACAGGTTTTGATTTATCTATTTTAAGTAGAGCTGTCAGTCTAAAGATCTCCCTGTGCACTTTCAGGTTAGCTTGCTGTGAAGTGCACTGGAGCTTGCTCGCAAGATAAGGAAGTGCCCAGCTGTGCCCAAGTGGCTGATAGAAATAAGCACTGCCCCTGCTCCAGGGGTACTGTGCTTGAAGGGTTACGCTGCCAGATTGGATAGTGCAGAGGCTGTATTTGTGTACTGTGGCGTATTTAAAAGAAAACAAGTTAGGCTGCTCTTTTATCTTTTTCTTAAAGACCCCTCCTCCACCAGCGTAGCATCTCTGAGCTAGTACATTAGAACTCCTGTTTATTAAATTAAATCTTGCCTTTGAAACTGCAATGCAGAATTTCTAGCTGCTGCCCCAGCTTCTCTGTGTTAGTGAGCTGGCGAGAGCCCTGTCCCTGGTCACTGCATTAACGACTTCTCACAAGAAAACAGATGGTTCCCTAATACTAGGGCAGCTTTTATCTGTGAAGAGGAAACTCCAGATAGTTCCATAAAGGAAGGAAGGATGAGGGCCTTCTTGCTGATGCTTGAAAGAAAAAGATGAGTATGAAGAGATGGTTCAGAAACATGCACAAAACTAACTTGTTCCATTCTTCCATATTTGTCAGGAGCTAGAAGATGCAGAATGAACAGTAGTTGAGCATTTATATGTGCATATGCTTTCAAAAGTGAATAAATTGCCTAACTGTGGGTTGATTTCCATAAATTAATTTACATCAATTTTACCTAGAATCTCACATCCAATAATGATACTCAGAGTATGACAAGTTTTGCAGCATTAGGTTTAAAATTATCTGGAAGAGACTACAAGGGGTGAAAAGAGATGTCAAAATATGTACTGTAGGTTACCCAGAGTAGTACTGTGTGCAGAATAGGAAGTATTACACCCATCTTTTCATTTGCAGAAGGAGTGGTTCACTGCAGTATAAACTTAGTGCTAAATTCACACCTGTATGTTCTTTCTGTTTTATTTCACTTTCACATCGGATATCTGATCGTTTCTCAAAACACCGATGTAGCATGCTCGTAAAATCTCTATGTCTGCACCACCCTTTTTAGAGGGCTGTAAGTGGGTGGAAGATTTCTCATTACAAAACAAAGCTAGAATACAACTCAGTAGGCAGGAAAAAGTCAGAACTTCACAGTTGTACTGCTGATGTTCACGGCACTCTCCTGGGTTTTCTTTTTCCCCTCCTCTATGCACATAATGCCTGAGAAGGGAGTTAATTCTAATATTAAATGTCCTATTTTCAGGATTTCCATAGTATTGATTTGCTTCCCAGAAAAGTCCATGGGTACTGCCAGGTGTTCTGTGCTTTCACTATGTTGGTTTTACGTCTAAATGCACATTTTGAAGCTAATACTGTGCAGATTTTCATCTGTTGGCTAGTGTAATTAATATAAACTCCTTAAAAAGCTGTGTGAGTGAAGTGATTACTAATACATTTATTGCTTTTATGGAACCTCAGTTCTCATTCAGAGACCTTCTTCTGTTAATAGGCAAATATTTTTAAGGCATTTGCTGAATTGTTCCAAGTTGCTTCAGCTAAACCTGCACCTCTTGGCATCTGTGATTATCCATCATCAAGAGCAATATACGCTGTTGACTTGATGCTTAAATGGGACACCAGCAGAGATGGTGAGAAGCTCATTTCTTTGAATTCTTTATATTTGTGGACCTTTTTGGAAATGTATTTCTTCTGTCTTCACTCTTAGTGTTTTTCAAGCAGTGTGAGCTGTGTACGCTGTGCCTCCCACTGGCATCAAAGCCTATGTGGAGTTGCAGATCTGTGGGGTTAGCATCTGCCATGCTGGTTAACAGTAATGATGGGGGAGCTGTTAACTGTGCTTGGCTGAGTCCTTGCTTCCCTTGTGGGAATGACTATTGCCATTCTCTGTTTAAAAACAAACCAACCAACAAAAGAAACAAACAAAACACACACACATACACAAAACCTGCCAACTGTACAGCGGTCTAGTCACTCTTGACAGCAGCAAGTTTTCTTTCCCATTTACGGTGAGAGAATGTCTGAAAACCTTAGAGACATCTTTTTATCTGTGGCTTCCAGGCTTGGCACCGTGTCTTCAATGCATGGTTACTTATTAATCAGGGAAGGGACCACATTCACCATTTCAGTCCTACTGATGTCCTCAGGACCATCACTCAGTTGTTGCCAAGTGTCTGCAAGAACATGTATGTGAAGCTGCTTCATCTTAAGTGCTACAGCATGGCTGACTACCTGGAGCCTTTCTTCCAGCCAGTGGTGGAGCACTGGTAGCAAAATTTGCCAAGCAGGGTGAATTCTTTATTATCTCACCAGGAGGCTCAAAAACGTTCTGCAAGTGTGCCCAACCCAGACACGTGTGTCTTGTCGGCAGAAAAGCAGCAGGGGCACCAACACAAAAAGGACTACCGGGGGGTGTTAAACAGAACTGAGAGTACTCTTTCCTTGTGACATTGTGGTCCCTGGAACACAGGAAAAATTCATTGCTTGTGCCTGGGTTTGCTGGAGGAGTTTAGATTAGATGTATGTTGGCTGGGTGCCCCTAGCCCAGCCCTGCAGTGGCTGATTCTGTAAATATTGAATCACTTTCATGGAGTGTTATGATTGAGTAATAGGAGGTGTACAATTGAGCTCTTCCTGTTCAGCTCAAGTGGAGCAAGGGGTTGAATTTGGGTCTGCTATGTCCATGTCAAATGCTCTTTCAGCTGTTCTAGGGTTGTCTTGAATGGGAGAAGCAAAGCAACTCCCTATTATTACTAGCTTAAGGAAAACTATTGTAGTAAAAGGACCAACCTCACATTACAGCCCTGGCTGAACTGCGAAGGTCCCTAGCCTTTTGAAGATGGGGGCATGGGTGCTAAAGTCACGGCTGTGATGCTATAGGCAGCATGTGGACAAGTAGGTTAGTTGCTTCTGTGCACAGCAGAGTATAGTTTACTTTATGCATCAGAAGCTTGTACCCCCACTTATGATTTCAACACCAGACAGGAAATAAAATCCTTTGTTTCTCTTGGAACAGAATGCATTTGATTCTGAACTCTGAACTGTACTGATGAAGTTTTAAGAGAAAATTAAACTTCCTGACTTCCTTCTAGGAGTGAGATGAAGTGGCAGGTGGGAGTGGCTGAAGTGTAAAGGAACAGGACTGCTAGAACTAGAAAGGTAGATATATATCTAGGAGCTTTAAGAAAGGAAAGTTTGTACTGAAACAGGAAAGGAGAGACAGTGTTTTCTGGAAGATGTTTGAGAGTGTCAAGCAAGACAGCTGTATCGGGGAGATCCCCTTAAATTGCTGCAAATTCTCATTCTAAACAAAGCATTGGATTAGCACAGTGATTGCAGAATCTGTTGGATAATTGTCCTCTGGATAACGATGGTAGAACAGACCTCCATCCCTCCAAAAAAAACCCAAACCCAATGAAAGAAAAACACCTTACCAGCTTGCCAGCTTGGCTCATAAAAGATGGCTTTTTCCAGTCATTTTCTATAATCACTGGCTTAAAGATGGGTATTGATTCAGGATCTCTATAGAGCTTGTATTAAGAAGTAATGTTTGTGTTCCCCTTTACAGGGAAAAAAATGATGCAGCCTCAGATCCTGGAGGTGAACTTTAATCCTGACTGTGATAGAGCCTGTAAATACCACCCTACCTTTTTTAATGATGTCTTCAGCACCCTATTTCTGGATGAAACAGACGGCTGCCATGTGACATGCATTGTCTAGCCACAGGAGGCTTGACTATTAATTTCCTTCCCAGATATGCTTAACAGCAAGATTTATATTTCAGTTCTATGAGCTGCTGATGCAACTATTTTCCTATACTGGTAACCCAGGAAATAAAGTCACATCAGAACAATATGCGTATACCATATACTGTACTGATAATCATTTTGTCTGCATTTTCCTTGTCTTGCTTCGTTCTATAAGATCATCAATTTGTGTTGACCAAATATCTTGTTTATTGAATATGGGAGACCTCAAAATAGGACAGGAACTGGAGCAATTGACTTGTTTCTCAGGTAGCCTGATTGCTTGTTTGCTGGGAAACTTTGTACAAGTTCCTCATGTCAAGATTAAAACTATAATTTACTGAATCGTGTTGGAGTTTGTATATCTATCTTATCTATCCCTCTGTTATACAAAGGCGTAAAATGTTCTGATGGGAAAATACTATGCTATTTCAGTGCAGTGAACTACTAGGGTAATGAGATGAAAGATTTGATGGCTCTTCCCATTTTTCTTATTTAAAAAAGGCAAACAAAACCCACAATATTTAGGAACCCTGTGCTGCGGGCTGTCATCCTTAGCCTGCCCCTTAAAGAAACTAGATTTGTGAGGAGCAGTCAGGCACAAGTGAGAAGGATGCAATGTCTAGAGTAGCACAGGAATGCAGAAGCAGCCTGAAGGAATGAAAGGGAGTTGGGAAACTCTGCTAGAACCCTAACCAGTCTTTGGACTTCCAAGTTTAGGGCCTAGGATAGAGGTGTTGGGGAATGGAGTGTCAGTTTGAAATTAATCATTCCTAATCTCTCCTCCCTCCTCAAATCAGGATAACTGGCTGAAATTTAGCAATTTTAGGCTGCATTTACATTGCTTTGTTTGTATGTATGTACAAGTTGCAAAAAATTCTGCTGCCTGTCACGAAGCATATATTATGTGGGTAGTATTTTTTTTTCAAGCTAATTGCAGCAGTCAGGATCAGTTTGAGAGCAAAGTACAGTTATAAAATTGTATAAATGTTCTAAACCTTGCTTCAAGTTTTGCAAGTATGCAGCATGTTACCCCTCCTGATCAGGAAGGGAGATGGATATTTTAGGCTATTTCAGGCTGGTCTGCAGAAACCTACTTCTTTCCACTGACTGGAACATGGGCTGGAGAAACAAACCATCTGCGTCTTACGAAAATTCAGTCACTGCACAGGTGGGGCAGAAGGAAGAGCTGGATTGCACAGCCAGAAGTGGTGCTGACAGCCATATCACTCTTCTGTTCATGAGTCAGAACTTTTTTGGACTCCTTACTTGAATGTGATTAAAGAAACATGGATGGTGCAACTACTTCCAATGCAGGGAAAAAACTTGTCTGTGATACAGAATATAGTAAACGGGTGCTTGAGACTGGATATAAGGGGGCAGGCAGTGCTGCTCAGCAGATGTATTTGTCACTTGTAGAAGAGCAAAAGGCACTTTCTGCCTTCGAAGTACCAGAAAACATGTAATAAAGTGCCTGTGGATCTAAAGGGGAAGGTTTCCCTCATCACAAAGGGAAAAGTGATGTCACGCTTAGCAAACCAGAAGAATGACTTTTTAAAAGTAGCAGGATCTGTGCAGTGGGACCACAAGCTGTGGGCAAAAAAGTCTGTTGTTGCGCTCTTAGACAAGAGAGATGTTTTTATCTTATAGGAAGCAACTGGTCGAACTCAGCATCCTGGATCTTACTATAACTACCATAGCTTACTACTGCTACTATAGCCCTGAAGAGGAGAAACCCTTGTTTCTATTTCTAAGCAGCTCAAGTGAGAAGGTGCAGGTAGGAGACACTAGTAGCTACAGTGTACGTACTGCCCTGCTGGGCAACAGACCTGCCCGTGGCCTGGCTGCCAGCTCCACTGTCGAGGTCTAGTGGTGAACTGGTCCAGGTGGAGTATGTCAGCGCTGTTTGGCCAGCGCTGCTGGTGATGCCTCGGAGGTGTGTGAAGAGGGCTGCTGAATGCTTGGGTCCTCTCAGTTTCCATCTGGGTGCTCTGAATTTCCTGTCTTGTCTTGCACATTTCAGTGGTGAGGAGAAGAGATGAAGGGGCTATCTTTGAGGCTACAGCATCCTGTTGCCTTCAGTATTTTTCTGTTCAAAACCATTTTAAAACAATAAAAACAGAGGAACAAGGTTAGTAAGTTTACATGTAGTTTAATGTATTTAGCTGACACTAGGCTGTACAATGCTTCAAAGTGGGAAGGCACAAATTGTGGAGAAAAAAAACCCCACAAACCCTCGTCTTGAGCATTTCCAGAGTACAATGACCAGAAGATAAATATCTGTCAGCTGTAGTGGGACACATCATAGCATGAAAGCACCATGTCTAGTGGTAAACATGAAAGATTCAGACTACGATCATGCCTGTTAGCAGCATTTTTCTGGAAGTTGTGTTAATATATGACTGGATTTCTTCCTCTGAACATGATGAAATTGCAGTTCATGCTTATTCCTTTTAACAGTTAAAATGCTGTTGTCATATAAAATGTAATGCTCTAACATAGAAAACTAGTACTTTTCAATCAGCACCATCTTTTAGTTTGCTATAAAACCAAGGGATACACCCTTTTGTGATTTGCCTAATAAAACCATATTTGTTTTAAACAAGTACAGCTTTGTCAACTTGTAATTAGCAAACTAATGGTATAAGTAGTTCAGCTAAAAATAAAATAAGGCCATAACTTTATTTAGAAAATTCTTGTGGGGAAAAAAAAAAAAAAATTTGGCTGAAAAATGTTTATTCGGATTGTTTCTTGTTGCGATTGTCGTTCCAGATACGGTAATTGAGTGCAGAAGCCATGGTTAGCCAAGCTAAATAAGGAACCATCAAATAAGCTGCTGTTTTGTTGATATTATACCAGGAAGCAGTTGTAGCTGTTGCTGTACCAGTCACGAGCAGAAGAGTCGCCAACCCCTGAAACACAGGAAGGTGGTTAGTGTTGGTTTTACTTGTTGCATTTTCTTGACTAGTCTTTGTGTGGCTCTTGCCACTTAGCTCTGACACTTGCTGGGTCTCTCTGTGAGTTCATTCCTTCTCAGAAAACTAGCCAGCAAAAAAAGATTTCTGCTGAGTTATGAGTTGAATTGAAACATAGAATGATGTAACAGTCACAAGAAGGGGCACTGCAGCTGGGAGCGGGAGAGGAAGACTGAAATCCCCCTCACCCATACACTCTTTTTTTTTTTTGGCAATGGGAAGTGCTATGCTGACTACAAATCTCATGTGGCTTCAACAAAGTCACTTAGCTAAGTAAACTTGTCCAGTCTTTTCCTTTTGTAGATGCTGCCTGAAGAGATGCGGTGTGAACAAATCAATGGATTGCAAAGTCTTCCACTTTTACAGCATTGCATATATATTTAGAGAACCAGGCAAATATTTTTGATTTTTATTTTTGAGGCAAGCTGTTTCTCTTCAGACTGCAAATAATTAGTCTTGTCTAAAATGGGTGCTGATTACCTGAGTAATGTTATGATAAGCTTCTTATCGCTGCTGTTTGCCAGAGACACCTAGGAATTTTAGTGAGGCGTACGTGTTTACATTTTCTAGTCATACAATGCTCTTATCAAAGGGTGGTAGAAAGAGCTTAAAATCTAAACATTTAAGGATGTTGTAGGTATGTAAATTCTCTCAGGTGGCTGCTGGGATGCATTAAAGAGAATTTTAGAAAACTTCTGCAAGCCATATTCTGTACTCAGGCTCATTTTCAGGGAGAAAAGATTATGACACACAACTTTTGTCTTAGCACTTTCAAAATGACAGCAGAAGCCTATGGTAAGACATTTATTTTTCCACTTACCCATCCCACTTTGTGTGCTCCAAAAAATATTGGAGTCCATGCCCAGTTCAATGCCAGCTGCCCTGCATACAGACCCAGAGGAACCACTGATTTTTCATTGAAGCCCCCCAGTTCCTTCCACACCAGGTAGGAGCCGTATCTGGAGAAAGCAAATGCATGGTGGAATTCAGTACTTTGGTTAGAAAGCAACTGCACATTCTTGATCAAATGAAGTTACTTCAGTGCTAGGGTCTAAATTCACTTGGAAAAGTAGATACCCAGGTACTACTTGGCAGAGTAACTGCACAGGGTTGATCGCCTACTGCAGACAGCAATATGCAGAGAGAAAAATTCCCTATCCTGCCAGACTTCTCACTTCTAGGTGCAGAGGATCTACTGCATTTCAGTTTAAAAGAGGA